GGGGGCATGTGGGGTGGCAGAGTTTTGCCAAGCCCCTGGCAGCTGCAAGCAGGAATCGATGTCAAACCCAGGCTAAATGCTGTGCTGCTCCATGGCCAGTCCCTGGGGCACTGATGGATGGGGGGGTCCTGCCCTCCAGACTCAGCCCACCCCTCACCCACCGCAGCCAAAGCTCTCTGGGCAGCGGGACAGCGGCTGTCACTAGCCCACTCTCTATCCCCCTTTAAGGAGCCAGGGCTTTGCCGAGTTTTTCCAAGGATCCTGATGCCAGGAAAGCTAGTTCTGAGCCCATCCACTCCCACCCTTGTATCGCAACCTCTCATGCAAAAGAGAAGGAGTTTCTCTACCAGGAGCCAGCCAAACCAACCCTCATCAGCAGAGCTGTGGAAGCCCCACGTCACCCGCTCCTCACGAGCGTTGAGCCTCTTCGGCCAGGGCAGGAGCGGGGCTCACGGCTCCAGCTAAGAGAGGGTACAAGGCAGAGCAGCTTGTTTGGAAGGTGAGATGCTGTTTCCTCAAGTCTGCAGCTACTGGGAGAGTCACCAGGGAGGTATTTTTAACCCTTTTTTTTTTTGCTGCTGGTATGGGGCAGATTTTGATATGTGGGTAGATTTGAGCCCAGATCTGGTGACATGCCCTCTGAAGTGACTCCCTTTGGCCATCCAGAGCGAGTGCAGCGGTTGCAGGCAGAGCCAGGCTGGCAGCACCGGGAAGCTCAGCACTGCTCATCCCTGGGGTGGGGTGTCCGGGAGAAACGCTTTGGGTGCAAAGCTGGAACGCTTCAGAAATGGGTCATCTGGTAAAGCAGGAGTGAGTGGAGCACGAGGTTCAGCTCAGCATCTGATAGGAGGTGCAGGGGATTTGGAGAGCTGGAGAGCTCTCTCCTTATACTTTACAGTGGGTTGGTCTCCCCGAGGGAGCAGGGAGACACCCAGAGCCCGGGGGGGAGCAGCTCCCCTGCCCCAGCCTGCTGGCAACCGGGGATGCTCAGCCAGCAGCCTCGTGGTTTGTTCGACCCCTTGCCCACCGAACCGAGGCTGCTAATTAGCTCTAACAACAGGGACTCTGTTCCTCTGAAATCACCAGCCTGAAAACACCCCAGACCAATTTCTCCTAAATCTTCCTCCCTTGCACATCCATCAGGAATAACATCCACTTACGGGGCTCCCTACCCCCAGGCTGAGTTTGAACCAGTGACCTGGAGGTGAAAGCGCTTGAAAAGCTCCAGCCCTCGCCGCAGCCGCTTGCTCCCAGCGGGGTTTTCAGCAGCACTTACAGAGCAGAGATGGTTTTAGCAACTGTCGCATCGCAGCAGCCCCGGCCCGAAGCTGTGTTGGCCTTTCACATCAGAAACCTCTCGCTCAGCGTCAGCGAGGCCCTGAGCAGCTGCCGGCCCACGGGGTCAGGCTGCAGCTACCGGCAGCGTTTTGGCCGGCTCCTGGCCGTGAGCCCCTGCGCTCGGGGGGGCAGGGGTTGGACCTGTCTGCCCAGTGCTCTGGCCCCTCCATGGGCACCGAGGCCAGGCCAGCCCCTCCCAGCATCTCTGCCCTCACCACGGGCTCTGTGCCCTGGATCTGCCTCGTGGCGGCTGATCAGCCAGCAGCTGCCTCCCAGGGCACCGACAGCGGCTGCGTCAGGAGCGTCGGGCCCCACACGGGGCACCCGGTTCGGCAGGGACAGGGCTCAGGGCCCCCAGCAGTCCTGCAGCCAGAGTTCAAAGACCACCACCGGTGCCGTGGTCCTCTGCAGACCCCTCCCGCCCCTCGCCTGCCTGCACTGGGAGCCCTGGCCCAGCCACCCCCCCCGGGTGACGCTGGCGAGGCGGCGCAGCAGAGAACGGGAGCATTGTCGAGCCCTCGCGCTGCCCGCGGGCTCTGTAACCCATCCAGAGCCCCAGCGCGGGCGTGCCAGGCCTGGCCAGCGCTCCCGGGACAGTGACACGGGGCCGAGGCGTGCACCAGCCCCTCCATCCCCTTGCAGCAGAGGAAACCCAAGGGGCAGAGTGGAGCCGCAGCCTCTGCAGGCGTTTGTGCAGCACCATGCGCCTTTCCTCAAGCCTCTCCCGCCTTGGGCCTGCTGCAGCAGGCACGGCCCCAGCCCAGAGCGTCACCACTCTGGACCCAGACCTGGTCCCAGGCCTGAGCCAGCTCAGCAAATCCCACCAAATCCCACCCTCAGACGTTCAGCCTGACCTTTGCCCAGTGCCAGGAGGACAGAGGTACAGTGGCTGCTGCTCCCCTTCTGGCTTTCACCAGGGCCTCCATCTGCACCACCCCAGTCCTCTGACCTCAGCGGGCAGCCAGGGGCACTGAGACCCCCCCGAACGTGGCTTCCTTCCCAGGGGAAGGGGATTTTCCCACTCCAGCTGGCCCGGGAGATACAGAGGGGAGATGTTACCAGGGCAGAGCAGGCTCTGAAGCCAGAGGACAGCTCTAATTATTGAGAGCCAATTCCATTACAGCAATCTCAGCCCCAGGCAACACAGGCCAGATTTTCCAGAGGGGCTGAGTGACATGGACGCAGCTTTCCCTCTGCACCCACATGAAAAATGAATTATACACACACACAGAGCAGACCTGTAGCCGTTCCATTCCCACGTGTCACCAAACCATGCTGCTCCTGCTCCAGCAGAGCCGAGGCGACACGTCACTCCAGACCTCCCCACTTCCCAGCCGGAGAGCTCCCAGGTCCCCTTTCGCCACCATCCACTTTCACCTTGTTCTCCAGCTTGTTTTGACTCACCTGGACATCTTCCGTGCCCTAGCTCCAGCAGACTCCAGCCAAAGCTGTGGTGTAGGCACATGGCTCTGGGAGGACACCCGTGGGAGAGGCGGCAGCCTGGGGCAGGATGTGGGCAACAAAGACAGTCCTGGTTCTGCCAGTGAGTGGGAGACAGAGCAGGAGAGGAGCCAGAACCAGAGGTGTCAGCATTAACCCCCCTCCTCCTGCCTCACGGAGGAGCCTCCAGAGAGGGGTCCCCTCCCAGGAAGGGCAGTGGGTGAGGCAGGGGCTGGTCTGGGACACGCTCACCCAGAGGAGGGAGAGCAGCTCTGCCAGACACCTCCGCCAGCCCATAGGGAGCCCGAGGTAGAGTCCAGCATTAGCCATCAGAGCTACCTGTTCTTCCCCACCATTCCCCTATCTGGGGGGCAGGAGAGGGAGGGAAGCATTTTAAAGTAATTCCCCAAGGCAGCAAGAAAGCAGGCAGCAAGTCCGAGTTTTAACCAACCTTCTTATTTCTTTATTTGAAAGGCACAGCTTGTACGTCCTTGATACAGCATTTTCAGTTCCTCTTATTATAGGTCAAGTGATTAAACACAAAAAGCAAAACAAGATCTTTCTAAAGGACTATATACAAACACCAGATTATTATTTAGTTTTATTCTTTTTTTGTTCCATTTTTGTTTTTTATAGAAGACACGCTAGCGCACGGAGATAAGAACAGAGAAAGCTGCTGTATCCTCTACACGGGGGCAGGGACGCAGGGACGGGGAGGACCAGGAAAGGCTCTCAGTCTGCCTGCCCCCCACCCAGCCGCCCGAGCCCCCCGAAGCCAGGTGCTATGCCAAGGGGGAGCGGGTGGCAGAGGCTCCCCCATCCAGCCCGAGGCCGAGGGGCAGCCCCAGCGGCCGGAGCGCGTCGTACTGCCGCAGGACTGGCTAAGAACAGATACATGCAGAACAGCGAGGTGCCGGCCTGGTATTAGTGCAGGAGGGGTGCGGGGAGGACAGGGACGGGTGATGCGAGGAGATCAAGAGCGCTTGGGGAGGGAGGAGATGGTTCCGGGCACGGATCCCAGCAGGGAGTTGTGCAGAAACTGTCAGGATCAAGGGGCATCTTTAAATACCAAGGGGGGAAAGGCAGGCTGGGGGGAGCCACGTGGCACCGAGGAGCTGGGACAGCCAGGGGGCAAGTGGCCCCAGAGCAGCCCAAGCCAGGCTCTGGCTCGGCTCTGTGAGGGAGTGGGAACAGGGACAGGGAAGCCAGGCTGGGCACAGGGAGAGCACGATCGGCCACACGGTTACTGCTACGGCGCCTGCATTGCTGCGGAGCAGCCCCTTCGCGGGGACGGCGGTGGGGGCATCCCCCAGGCACTGCTGCCCATGGGAACAGGCCTGGCAAGCTGCCACCAAACACAAGCCCCCGCGATTCTGCTGCGCAGCAACTACAGAGAGATACTGCATCTTGATAAAGGATCTGAGCCATGAATTCTTGCTGCTGTCCCATGAATTGTCTCCCAGCCCAGTCCGCTCCCCTGTGATGCTGGTTTCGGTGTGTGCCTAAACCCTTTGGCTCTGGATTTCTGACTCCGTTGGAAAGTGGCTTGCAGAGGGCTCATAGCTTTACTCTTTCCCAGCATTCAACACCCCAAAATTTGCACCTGCCTGTATG